GTTAGTTCTAGTACATCCACATTTTACAGATAATAAAACTGTAGCTCAGAGACAGCAATTTACTTAATGAAGACAAACATTTAAAAATCCCTTTCTTTCCAAAGTCTTCAGTATTTAATCCTCTCAGCAACTCTGGCCTAAGGCAAATAAACCCTTCGGGGATTCCCCCAAGGCATCCTGACTCCAATAGGGTAGCACAGTTTCACCGTTCAACGTATGTATAACGAAAACCATATACGTAATGCAAAATTTTCTAGTAGCCACATTTAAAAGTAAATGACACACGTGAGATTAATTTTAATGATATATTTTATTTGACCCAATATTTTACAATTTTTTCATACTAAGTCCTGGCTGTATTTAACATTACATTACATCCAAATTCCCACTAGCCACATGTCAAGGGCTCAGTAAGCATATAGGGCTAGTGGCCACTATATGAGGCTACGCATTTAGTCTATTTAGGAATCCTGAAATTAAAAGCAAAACCCACAGAGCCACCTGTCCCTTGGTTTCAGAGGCCACGAAAAAAAACAATCGTAATGACAAAAAGTTCTTGAGTATTTACTTTGTGCCATGAAAAGGGCAACTTTTACTACGTGTGTTGAAGATCTTACACACGTTATCTTGTGTCATCCTCGCCACAAGGCGGGTGTACTGCCCTCCTCTTTTGAGTGAGCGAGAGAACTTTCCCGAGTTGGGCCCTCCTCCAGCACCCAACCGCCGTCCCGCTCCCGCCACCCGCCGGGCGCCAGCCCCCGGGAGCCATTGGTTCGCCATCATCCTAATCAGGGTCAAGTAAGGAGGCGCGCACGCAGGGGCAGACGCAGGTCACCTGCAAGCTGATGCGATCTAGGCGGATAGGGACCCTTCTGGGCCACTTCTCCTCAGGCTTGGGTTTGCGCTTGGGCTTAGGCTTGAGCGGCGGCTCCGGCACCGACTCCTCCTCCGACCCCTCCTCCGGCTCCTCCTCCGACTCTTCGACTTCTCCTCCTCGAACTGGTGCTCGGAGGCGCCACCAGCCGGAGCCAGCCATCGCACGCTTCGACTGGCCGGCGGGCCGGCGTTAGCCACAGCCTCCTGCCGGTACTCAGGAACGCGAGGGGGCGCCGCTTCCGGGAGCCCGGACTCAGCTTCCGGACGCTCGCGCGCCGAGCTCACCATAGAGAAGCCAGCCTGGACGCCCACTTCCGGCCGCTTCAGGCGCTTTGCTGGCGCCGGTAGGCTTGGGGCCCCCACCGCCCCTCTCCCTCAGGGTCGCGCGGGCTCCGCCCTTTAGCGGAAACGTCTTCCTCTTCACCCTGCCCCCTAGCAGACGCAGTGCTGCGCCCACAGCTGCCGGACAAAGGTTGACGTCCAGAGCTGGCGTCATGGCGGCAAGTGAGCCGAGCATGGCAGTAACCGAGAGCCTCGCGCCGCTGTCGGGGAAAGAGGAAGGGGCCGGCTTGAGCTCAGGCCCGGAGCGTAATTCCACGGGCTCCTCCTCGACTCCTGAGACCCCACCGCCTGCTCCCGAATCGTCCAGCCTCAACGCCGCGGTCCCCGAAGCGAATCCTACGTTTCCCGCGTTGGCCGCCGCCGCCCTGGAGCTGCCCCTCAGGCCCGCACCTCTGGCCTCAGCGCCGTTTGCCGAAGCCGCTCCGCGATCCCCCCCAGGCCCTGGCGGCTCCCGGCCCGGCCCGGAGACGTTCCGCCAGCGATTCCGGCAGTTCCGCTACCAGGACGCGGCAGGCCCTCGGGAGGCGTTCCGCCAGCTGCGGGAG